TGAATCGTGATTCGAATCGAATCGTGACTTCTTTGGCAATACCCACCCCTAGCTGCTAGTGCATATGTGGCAAGTGTGATGCAGAGTCTAGTTTAGAGTTTCAACAGTTCAACAGTCTGATGGCTGAGGGGAAAAAGCTGTTGCAGAATCTGCTGGTCCTGCTACAAATGATGCGAAGCCTCTTCCCAGAGGGCAGCAGCGAGAACAATCCATGGTGGGGGTGTGAGGGGTCACTGATGATGTTACGGGCTCGGGACACGCAGCGTCGAGATGAAATGTCTTTTATGGAGGGAAGTGGAACCCCGATGACCCTCTCTGCTGTCCTCACCACTTTTATCACGTTCTTTACAGAAACAATTAAACCACCACTTTGAGCCACCTGTCAAGCAGCGAGAGCTCCGTCGCTGCCAACAGTCCTGACCTGTCAGGACACAGATGGACATTAATATGGTAGCAAAATGTCAAATAGTGATGGGGATATTCCATGGAAGGTACTTATTTTCCAACAGCCTTCAGAAATGCTTTTTTGAGCTAAGATCTTGGGAAATTCAAACCCAGGTCGATGTCTGTCTGTTGGACTCCTCTAGAACCGTTTTTGTTTTGAACACTTCCCTTCAATCAGGGTGGATATTTTAAACTCTTTGCACAACAACCTGACAGAAATGGTGTATTCTGTCACTTTATAATGCAAAGTCCATCTGACAGACAGTGCAATATCTACAGTAGCTAATTTGTTAAACATCCCAGCCTTGGCTCCTCATTTCCATCAATGATCCTGGGTTGTTAAGGGCTGTGTTATTGCTTCACCACGGCTCCTTCCTGGGGATACTCTGATGGATGCTGACCACTGCAGAGCAGGAACATCCTGCCTTCTCAACCTGGCACACTGTATCATTTTGCTTTCACATTTATATGAATTTTAACATATAAACATATGAGAAAAAAATGGTTCCTAGTCTTAAAACATATCCCAAACTTGAAAGATAATCGTTTTTATTGCCTCCACTTTTCAGTCTTGATTATCATATTATAAATCCCATTAAGCAAACATCTGGTCAGAGCTTAATGTATTTTTAAGGCTATTTTACCACAAATTCTTAACATTAAAAACCGAAAACTGCATACAACAATGACAGGACAACAAATATGTAATACAGAGCATGATGTGATTCAGCTTTAAAGCTCCACTTTGTTCTAATGAAAATAAGTTGCAGCTGTAAAGCCATGCCAGATTAGTCAGAAACATTTGAAACAAATTAAGCATACAGCATGTTTGCTGAAAGGCCTTGGTTTCGTTCTGACTCCTTTATTTTCCTGAGGGCCGTGTTGTTCTGACTGGCTGATGACAGAGGTGGAGGAGAATGGAGTTTGGCAGCTGAAGACGGTAGTGAGCAATATCCCCTGGGTTTCCATATCGGCTACAGGCAGCCTCAGGCTATGCCCTAAAGCCCCGGGGCCCCCGCTTTGATCCCCAGGGACGCCGTTTAATGTGCTATAATGAGCCACACAGTATTACCCTGGTGGCATGATGGTGACTTTGGTGTGGTAGAGCCCCCACCCACATCCCTTCATGCAGCCAGCAGCACTCAGTTGAAGACACACGCCTCAGCTATGCAATGATGTGTTGTCCAAATTCTTTACCATTTTACTATTGTAAAATGGGGATGTACGAAACAGGACTCACAAAATGTTACTGTTGCAGTCATTTCCATGCTGCATAATTTGTGTTTTACAGATTTATTCAGGTTTTTTCCTAAAATATTTAAGATCAAACTCATTTTATTATGAGACAAATATGAAAACAACAAAAAAGGAAGCGCTTTTAAACTGGTATTTCAATTATTGATCTAGACCAAGGGTAACCAATTAAAAATCAGAAGATATAAATAAAGAAAATCATCAACCAGTAAAGGTCCGGAGACATTTTTAATTATAACAGAATTTAACAGAGAAATAAAGTGAGGTACTTATGCATCATGTTATACATTGACTTTTTAAAGAAAAACATATATATATATAAAAAACAACAACACATTTTTCCATTTTAAAGTGTTTTTTAAGTAGAAAACAACAATCGTTCTGTTTGGTATATTGTTATTTTTTTTAATTAATATGTTTTATAAAACACCTGAACTGACGATGTTTTTTTTTCTTTTCTTTTTTTATGGCCTAATGAGAGCAGTGTGCTTTATGCTGCCCTGCAAGGCTTTAAACCTGGGTTTATATGGAGACAAAGACATATCAAGGTGCTCATTTTGAGTCTGGATCCATATTTATTTCTGTTTCTGTTCATGGTGGAGAATCCTGCTTCACA